GACTGCTTGTGGCTTGGATGGGTGTAACCTTTGCTGGGTAGAAGACTGGATGGCTGGGTCCAAAGAGTGGTGGTGAATGGAGTTGTCCCGTTGGTGGCTGGTCACAAGTGGTGTACCCCAGGGCTCTGTACTGGGGCCTGTTCTGTTTAATGTCTTTATCAGTGGTCTGGACAAGGGGATCGAGTGCACTCTCAGTAAGTTAGCAGACAACACCAAGTTGGGCAGAAATGTGGATCTGCTTGAGGGTAGGAAGGCTTTACAGAGGGATCGGGACAGGCTGTATCAATGGGCCAGGGTGTGCTGGTTTAAGCCCTGCCAGGACCGGAGAGCACGTTGCTGTTGCCCCTCCCCCACCCTCAGCCAGTTGGGCTGGAAGTTAATCACAGACCTTGGGCTAAAATAAGAAGAAATTTTATACAACAGTGTGATGAACAATCTGAACAACAACAGTGGCAATGATAACAACAATAAACAGCAATAACGGTGAACAAGACAAAAGATATACAGAGAAATACCGCAAAATGGTCAGGGAACAAGCCCGCCGCGTGTGTGTGCTGCAACCCCAAAACAAAAAGCGAAAGTAAAAAGGCTCCGCCCCTGGACCTGACGTCAGCATGGTACGAATAACCCGGCTGGAGATCCCTTCCCCCTCTCTCTCTGCTGGGGAAACTTGACCCTATCCTAGTTGAACCAGGACACAAGGCCAATTGTATGAGATTCAACAAGGCTCAGTGCCAGGTCCTGCACTTGGGTCACAACAACCCCATGCAACACTACAAGCTTGGGGACGAGTGGCTGGAAACACTGGGGATGTTGGTCGACAGCTGGCTGAACAGGAGCCAGCAGTGTGCCCAGGTAGCTAAGAAGGCCAACAGCATCCTGGCTTGTGTCAGAAATAGTGTTGGCAGCATAACTGGGGAATTGGTTGTGCCCCTGTACTTGGCACTGATGAGGCTGCACTTCGAATACTGTGTTTAGTTTTGTGGGCCCTGCACTAAAAGAAAGACGTTGAGGTGCTGGAACATGTCCAAAGAAGAGCAGTGAAGCCAGTGAAGGGTCTAGAGCACAAGTCTTACGAGAAGCAGCTGAGGGAACTGGCATTGTTTAGCCTGGTGAAAAGGAGACTCAAGGGAGACCTTACTTCACTCTACAACTACCTGGAAGGAGGTTGTAGAGAGGTGGGTGTTGGTCTCTTTTTCAAAATAACAAGCAATAGAATGAGAGGAAATGGCCTCAAGTTGTACTAGGGAGGTTTAGATTGGATATTTGGAAAAATTTCTTCACTGAAAGGCTTGTTGAGAATTGGAACAGGCTGCCCTGCCCAGGAAAGTGGTTGAGTCATCATCCCTGGAGGTATTTAAAAGATGTGTAGATGTAGTGCCTAGGGACATGGTTTAAGTGGTGGACTTGGCAGCGTTAGGTTAAAAGTTGGACTCGATGATCTTAAAGGTCTTTTCCAACCTAAATGATTCTATGATTCCATGGCTGTTGCAAGGAGAAGACTGACACTCAGTCAGATGTGAGCTTCCAGAGGATGCAGAGCTGTGGAGCTGTGCAGGCCTCACTTCCCACTGTCTTGACCCAGTGAAGGTAGGTTTATTGTTTAATCTGGGGCCTAACAAGGCGTGATTCTTCCTGGTGAAATGATCTGATGGAAAACTCAAAACCTTTAGCTGGATGTTCAGCTGTTGAGTGACTTTGGTGCAGAATAGGACTGTGGAACAGCCTGGTTTTCCCAGTGTATTAAGGAACACACAATGGAAAAACCCACATGCTGATTCTCACTAATTTTCACCTAGTAGTGGCTTCTAGTGATGAAATGGAAAGCCTAGAATATGGCTGAGCTGTTGATTTTGCAGTGAGAAGAACAACATATAAAGCCATAGCTTCAGTGACAAGAGTCAGCATTTATCAGCCTTGACTCTGCCCAGGAATCACAGCCTCTCAGCAGTCACTTCTCAGAGCTTTTGGTCACTATGTTCACACTGCAGGATGTTTTCCCTTCTTCCTGCAGGACCTACCTGTCTTTGTGTTCACCAGCAGTTTGTCCTCTATTTGGTGTCATCTGCTTATGGTTGTAATTAAACAGATGTTGCAATTAGTAGAACCTGTAGTGGGAACTAAATTAGCCTAATGGCATTGTGAACACCTTGTCCTCCCTTAATAAAGGTTCCAACAATCCTCAGTTTCCAGAGCACTAGCAAGGTTAGTTTTCTGTATCTCAGGATACTTGGATCAAATGCCCATTTGACATGATAATAATGAGTTTCTTCTGGGCTGCCTTTGTGCTTCTGAAGCCATTCTAACATTGTGCCTTAAGGTTTCATAGTAGTGTCAGTTGATTCAGCATACGCGTTATACTCACGTATATGCTGTGTACAGCCTGCGCTTATCTGCTCCTGGTTTCCAGCATCCATGCAAACCTTCCTGCATTGTTTCTTTGCATTGTAAAATAAGCATCTTTGCTGATTTTCCATGGTTTGTTTTGACTCAGGAGTGAATTGTTCAAGAAGAGTCTTAGGCAATGTTTCTTTGGAAATACTTTTAAGCTTGTGTGGGTTTTATGAAAGCAGCTATCATATAGAGTGCAGGATTCCAAAATGGCAGGACTGTGGTTTTGTTCAGACTGGTCTTTGCTAGGTCTCTCTGTGAAACTTTTGAATTTGATTAATGTGTGTTCAGGGCACCTGAGACTTTGTGCTGGTCTTACATAGTGGTAGATAAATTGAATTTTTTTGAGTGTGTGTGTGTGTGAGAACCTATTCTTGATAGCAGAGAGTAGGGAGTGAAGTTGTTTCAGACTTTGTCCTGGTATTTGAATTGTAATAAAATGAAAACCTTTCATCTGGAGTGTTATGCTACCAGCAGGGATAAGCACTGATGAGTGGATGATTTTGGATGACCAGTGATGTGCTGTACAGCCACAACAAGGGATTTATTTAAAACAGAAATGAAGTTTTGCTGTGTCCTCAAACCATGTCCTGGATAAGTCAGGACAACTACCTTTTTGCACTGGTTGTATGTGTGCCTGGATGCAACTTAATGGATGGATCTCAGTGGAATAATCAGAAGCATGTTGCTTTTTCCTCCCAAGGCCAGTGTGCTTTAGGGGCTGGCTTAGGGCATTAGGGCAGACACACTCCCTCAGTAGCTTACTGGAGTCCCTTGCAAGTTGTAGCATGCTTACTCTAGTGAAATACTGCCAATAAAAAAAAATAATACTGTAATTTTGCATAGTAGGCACAAATGGTGTGTACCCCACACCCTGCTTCCCGGACTTCCCTGCTCCTTTTCTGTGCTTAATGTGTGTCAGGCAGCCTTCCCCTGTCCCAAAGCCATCTGCATGCCCATTTCCAGTACTGACTCCCAGCTGTGAGAACAGCCTTTCCTTCCCAAGGTAGGGAGCCCTGGAGGCTGGCTGATCTCCTAAACTCCTGTAGCTCCACAGCAAGTGAGTAGTGTTCAGATCCCAGAGGTGCCTGGGGAGCCTGTTGAGAGCTGCTGGAGTGCTTCCATGATGCATTCTGGTGGGGTTTCCCAAGCCTAAATGCAGCTTTCCCCTTACTCTTACCTCTGGCACGACTTCATGCATCACCCTAGCCCTCCTGCTGGTAGGAATTCCCTCTTTGCACTTTCTGGCTTTTGCTTCCAGGCATTTCTTTGAAGCTTTCCTGATCTCCTTGGCTTTGGGATATTGCTGCTGACGTCTAGAAAACCTTTTCACCTGCAGTTTATAAAAGAGGCTACTCAAAATGAAACTGTTTCGTATCTGTTGCTTCCATGCTGCCTGGACTTCTCTTGAACTGCACTGAGGATGTGAACCTCTTTCCCATGCACCTCCAACTCCTGCCTCAGATGTCAGTCTTGACCCGCAGTGAGTTAACTTGAAGCCCAGGCTGTGGGACACTCCACATTTACCCTTACAAGCCTGCATATTCACTTCTGAATTGGTGACAACCAGGGTGTCTCACTGTAAGCAGTGTCAGAACTTGGAGAGGTTTCTGAAATCCCCTGGGGAAAGAAGTCGTCTTGGGTCTAATCATAACACCCTAGAAGGGCTCAGGAGAGAAGCTCATCAAGCTCCACCCAAGAAGGCTGAACTGGAATTGCAAAAGTTTGTCTGTTTGCAGCCCAGTAATTGGGCAACAGTCTCCATTGTCCTTGCTTTTCCTCTGGGGTATGACTCCACAGCTCCCTCCATCTTAAGGGAAGAAGTTGTAGGAGGGTTCAGATAATCAGGCTCATTCTTCTATGGGATTTATGCAGGAAAAAAACCCTTTGTGTATGTTTGCCTCTTATTTCTTATGGCTCTTTAAGATATGAATATCTGTACCACTCTGGAATTACCCCACCCATAAATCAGAGCGGGGGCCAGGGAAGAAGAGGGATGGAGCATGCCAGCCCTGAATTGGGTGGTGGAGATGGAAAGACTTGATGATGAGCAGAACCAGCAATCTGTCTGGGAGTTGAAGAGGCCCTCAGACATGACAGAGTAAGGACAGAGAGGAGCTAGTTGCTGTGCTGAGCCTCCTGAAGGTGCACAGGGTGCAGGTTCTCTGGTGCTTGCACAGACACTGTGCTGCCCCATGGCATGAAGGAGGAGTGTCTGGTTCCTTCCCTTGCCCAGGGAACTGGTCCTGCAGCTTCACTGCTTCAAGACTGATCTTGTGTCACAGTGAGGTGTCTTCAGTGAGCTGGCTCTGGGGCTGATACCTGGGCTTGTACAGCTTCTGTGAATTAACTGTTGTTTACAGCAAGTAGCTTAAGAGAAGTGGGACCCTTGCTCTGCCCTGCTGCCCCAGTGCCCCTTGTCTGGGCAGTAGAAGGGTCTGGAGAAGGAGGAGGAAATCAGGTGCACTCTCTGAGGATGGCAGTTCTTGGGGATTTCTGCACACTAGCAGGGAGCTGCAAGTTATCCAGCATCTGGTCAGCTGGTCTCTCTGAAGCCTGGGTCTGGCTACCCAGTATCCTAACTGTATTGTTTTTTCTCTGACTTGCAGAAAGTGATGCCAGAAGCCTGCACTGATCCCATAGTCCTTGAGGAATCAAAGCTGTGAAATGGAGGTGTGGCAGAGCTGGGAGATACAGCCCTCCTCATTCCCATCTTTGCTACCTACATTGTCCTCCTGTTACATGAACACCATGGCAGCGGGGGCAGCCTCAGGACAGGAGCCCAGTGAACTGCTTGTGGAGAGTGTGAAAGAGCTAAACAAGAAGGGTGTTGCTCTCTTCAGTTAAATCTCTGCATCTTGCTGTTTTGGAGACTTCGCTTGGGAAGAAAAGTTAAGAAAACCCACTGCTTCCCTCCCATGCTACCATGTATGCTTGGAAAAGTAAAAGCACACCTACAGAGAAAAGCCGTAGATCCAGGCTAGCCCTGAGCATGTGAGGGTGGCACCCTGCACCTGTAACATGAAATGCAGATGCTGGATCACACTTACTCAGTGAGTAGCCCTTGAAGAGCTTACACTGGCTCCCAGGAAGAGGGATTGCTCTGCCATGGTGCCTATAATGCTCTGTCTTGCACAGGTGATGGTAGAGGTCTCAGCACATCACCGGCAAGTGCAGAGCAGTACATCTGCCACTGCTGGCTTTGGTTTTTATTATGTGGCTCTCCCAGATGAAGCAGTCTTAGTCTGTGGATAAACCTCTGCTCAGAATTCATTGAGATTGCCCTGATGTTCATATATATATATGAGTAATTGAGATATACCAATCTGTCTCCTTCTGCCTGCAGGTAAGGACTAATTCTGTAGCTTATGTTGAAGCTACAGCCTAAGCCCAGCTCATCATTACACTAGCAACAGGAATGAGTCAAGCTCCTTGGCCTGAGGACTGTGTCTTCCTCCTTAATGATAAAGTGCCTTTTGCATGTTTCAACACCACATAAAAACTTTTGTGAAGTGTTATATTGAGATATCCAGCCAAGGCTGTGTTGCTCTTCACAGCCACAGTAGAGGGGTTTGAGTATTATGGGAATCCGGATTTGCTCCAGTGTGGAAGCTTCCCACTCTATAACAGGAGAAGCAGCCCTCTTACTAGCATCTGTGTCTCATAGACACTGCCCCTCTGTATGCTGCTGTTTATTTTCTAAACACAGATGTAGGTCCTTACATCCCTTTTTCCTTTCTAGCATCCCTCCACTGGTGGAGACATCAAGTGTCCTTATAATCCTTAAATCATGCAATTATGCATATATCATTTGAGGGGGGGCTGGGACAAAAACCACAACCATGAGGAATGAATAAGAAGAGATACCATTTTTGACAAAACATATTTTAGGTGAAATTATAATGAATTTTTTAATGTGTCAAAAGACAAGTCCTATCTTTGACAGTTTGGGATTGAGGATGGGGGTCTAAAATGGCTTTTCAATAGAAGTTTTTATGTAAAAGAAAAACATTTGAAATGTACAATGAAACTGACACATTCATATTAAATGGTTGAAACAGTCTACATCTGGCTTTTAATAATCAAAAATATTTTACAGACCGGAAGAATCATCTTTCTGCCCAGTGCTACTGTTGTGCTCTTTGCTTCTCTTCTGCGTCTTTCTGCTTTCTTCTGCACACGCACTGTCTTCTTAGCTAGGAGACCCCACTGGTTCTTTCCTACCTTCTCTGCACTGTCCATCTGCTTTGGGCATTATTTCACCTAGGTCTGAGAAACCTGTTCCTGTTTTCTTAGTCTTCTGTAGTTATAGCTCACTGCAAAGATAGCTCCATCCTTGCTCACAGGTGCATGCAGTTTGCTGTCACCAGTATGCTGCAGAAGCAAGAGGTGCAACAATTCTCTGTGTGCGTGAGCAGTCAGACATGGAACTTTGTGGGAAGGAGTCAGGGAAAGGTGAGTTTGCTGTAAAGAGAGATGATTTATCCTGCAACATACAGTAGAAACTACTGTTTGCTTCGAGGTTGTACATCCTCCACCTGCTGCTGTGTAGCATAAAGACAGACAGAGCACCCTGCAGTTTTCTGTCATTTATTAGAAATGGCCCCTTAGGAACACACACATGCAAGTTACACAGCAGTGCCAGGGGCAGCACATGTTCATTCTCTCTTTCTGGTTTGAAGTGTGCAGTGGATTCTGGGTAGCTCTACACCTCCTCCCCACAGGTACACAGGGAGAGAAGTCCTTGGTGCACTGGGCATGCCTGAGACATCACCTGCTATCCTCCAGGGAGGCAGTCACCAACTGTCCCCCACAAGCTTTGACCCAAACTCCTCTGGGACTTGGACTTTGAAATCAGTCAGTTGAAATGTTGCCTGGACAAGAAAAAACACTTAGTAATGAAGAATGTTTGACAGAGTCCAACACTGATCCACCAGTGGGACTGGTGTCCTGGAGAAGTTCAGCTGAGCTTTAGTGGAAGTTTGGCAGTGAAGACAGGAGACAACGCTGACCTACACAGGGTCTTCAGCTTCAGTTTTTCTTCTTATTTTGTGACAGTGCTTCTACCTCCAGGTACTGCAGCCCAATCAACATCCCCATAATAGAGAAACCTGTGAGGGAGATACAAGATGAATTGTGTAAATGCTGGGCGGGAGACAAGGCATTTCCTTCCACCATGCCCTCCCTGCCTTTAGCTCATACCTCAGGCAGAGTTTTTCTTGGAGGGGTCATAGCAACAAGGAGAGTTTGTGGGGGCAGGATGTAGAGCTCTACTTACTTGCTACCATGAGGGGTGCCATAACTCCAATTGTCAAGGCTGCAGTGTGGTAAATGAAGACCTCGGAGAGGAAGTGAACAAGTGCCAAAAAGAAGGTGAAGAGTGTGATGTAATAGAGGCTGTTGGAGAGCAGAAAGGAGCAGGTTATCATATAACCTATAGTATGGGCATAAGCATGGCTGAATGGAAGAGGCAAATCTGCATGCTGTCCTGTCTGCCCTTACTGTGGCAGCACGGGGAGGGGGGGGGACAACAACGGGGATGACTTGGTCCCTTGACTAGCAAGGTGCTAAAGCTCCTGGGGCAACAACTGAGAGAACATGGCAGTGTTCAGTGATGCACTGAAAGTCACAGGCATTATCTGGCCTGAAGGTAGGTGAAGAGGGGAGAGCAAGGGTAGGGCACCGGTGAAGCGAAAAGCATATGCGCACAGAAAAAGAGGACAAGAACTGGATGAGCCAAGAACTAGGGCAACAGGATTTGGCTGACTCCAGCCTGCATCACATCTTTCCACCTGTGCTCTGCTACCCTCTAGGGGCCACAGTTGTGGAAAGGGAACAGCTGAGAAACGACTGGCTTCACGTTAATTGGCCACCCCCTAAAACCAGGTAATTGAGTCCCTGCACCTCCCTACCACAGACAAGCCTAGGCAATCCAAGGACATGCTGCCAAGTGAACAGTGACTTCTGCTGCAGGGCTGGGTAAGGCGGTGACAAAAGATTGAGTTCTAGTAATCTCCAACATAGGTTTTGTCTAGCACTGACTCACAGTCAGCCTGCCTGGAAATCCCTCTCAGAAATACCTGTTACCCCAGGAAGAAATGGCCTACCTCCCGCCACCATGCCTTGCTGCACCTCAGGCCTTCTCCTCAGCCCCACGTAAGATGTGTGGAAGAAGGCAGCGGATTAAGACCACTGCAAAGGGCCTCTCAACCTACCAGTTTTTAGATGCAGTTTCACAAGAAGGGAAGTACCGAGCATCAGTCAGACCATAGCCTTAGCCATTGCTTACTGTCAACAGAGCAGCAATACCGTCAGAAAATGCTTTCCAAACTGGAGCTCAGCAATTTGTGATATAAGAAATTCTCAGATCTACCATTTCTGCCTGTGCTAAGAGGCAGAATGGAGCAGCAGTTAACACATGAGTCCTACATCGCTATTTAAGCTTTTTCGGGGAAATGCTTTCGACCCTGTAGAAAGTTCAGGAACAGGTTTTGATTTCCCCCCAGTGCTCCTTTACATACGTCCTGTTGCGAATGTCGATGGCGCAAAGACAACGGATCACTGACGACAGCAGGGTCCAGACGCCAAAGGTCCGAGCCTGAAGCCCATTCACTGCGCAAAGAAGAGGGGAAGCACATGGAGACCACGCACAGCCCCGCCTGCCACCCCCCCTTCCCGTCCCCACCGGGCCAGCAGGCGGCTCTCCGGCCCGAGAGCGGCCGCTGAGGCGGGGCCCCAAGCAGAGCCCAAGGCTCACGGCGGGAACGCGACCTCCGGAAAAGCCAGTTGCATTCCTTACACTCCTCCTACCTCTAAAGTGGGAGATGGTTTGGGTCTTAAGCCTGAGGGCAGCCTATCTACATTTGTAGCCGGAAAGACCACTATATTCATTAGGGTTGGAGGTGCAGCTCTTCCCTGGCTACTCTAAAGTCTGTAATTCCATTGATGTCTTTCTGTCATGTTCCTAAACTGGGAACTTTCTTGATGATGTTTAAGAAAATGAAGGAAATGTATGTCCTTTCTTTTGTTTAGTGTTTTGTTTTAGTTTTTACTTTGCTGCAGAGAATGGAAATCTACTGTGCAGAAGACTGATATGCAGTGTTTTATGTCCTTTTTAAAAAAAATGTCTTGTGAGAACTCAACTACTAGAGTTCTTATTACTTGCTAGTGTATGTTTGTTCCATCGTTGTTTAGTAACTTTTTATCCTTGCTTGTGAAGGAGTCACTCCCTTGTTCTTTCCCGGAGTGGAATCCCTTTTCTGTTTCAGCTGGACATACTTTAATATATACTATTTGTTTTCTTTTGGGTGCATGTTGTGACTGAGTTCCCAGTTGCAAACTGCAGTGACTTAAGGCATGTAGAGGAATGTTTCTTCATACCAAGTAGTTGGCTCAGGCTTGCCAGACCCTCCTGGGTGGAAAGGTTCAGAACTGCCTTCACCTGGAATGTAATTGTAACAGTGTGTTTGTATCAAGTGACCAAGGGTCCTGCTAGGAATGAATAACTGTAACCTGGAGAATCGAGCCTTACTGCAAATCCTCAGGACAGGCTTAACATAAACTCCTCTCCTGTTGCCTCAGCTCATTTCTCACTTACATAAGGCTATTGCCTGTAGTGTAAATTCTGGAAGCTTCTTGGGTCCTTTCCAGCTAATTACACCCCAGTAGTTGATTTTTTTTTTTTTTTTTTAAATTTTTTTTTAAATTTTGAAGGTGGTGGAAGCAGTTAATTTGTCTGGGTGATAATGGTAATAACTTGGTTAACTTGCTCTTTTATCTCAGTTCCTGTGTTTTAAGTGTAGGAAATGTTTTGTCTTCTGTAGTTTCTCCAAACCTTTGGTAGACAATGTTCTTGCATATTTTATAGACAAATACTTCTGTGCATCTCTGCCTGTCTTTACATTTCTTCTTGTCTGTGTAGCTAGAGATGTGTCTCTCCAACCCCTCAGTCCTGTTTTCTGTTAAATTTTCATGGTTCCATTTCCTTGCATAGCGAGTAATAAGCAGTCTGAGTTTTATTTGCTTAGGGAGGTTGACAGGTTTGCTTTCTGTGATTTTAGGATTTTATATAGTAGATCTTAATTTTTTTGGTGTGTGTGTCCTTAATTCTTCTGAGGAGATGTTAGTTTCCAATGTAGCCTTGTTGTTTTGGACAGAACTGATCACCGTATCTCAGAACCTGTATCTTGAGTCTCTGGCTGGGGCATCATTGTTGAATTCTGGGCTTGCATTCTACTTCATCTGGCAGAAATTAAAAAGAACGAATGCACATATTTGTCTGTTGTGTTCTGCCAAACCTGTTCTGGTCTCAAATTCTGCATGAGTGCCTTTTTGTGCACTTCAGAGTCCAGGATTACAACCAGGCAACATGCACTTACTTGCAGCTCTTAAATTGGAGACTGGAACCTGCATTGTAAGGTCTGGTTGTGTGGATACCAGCAATTATGGTTTATCATGAATTATAGATCCTGTTTTCAGGCTATAAATCCAGAGAACTGTAGCCGTGAAAACTCATGGGGTTTGTCCCAAGTTACACTCAGTAAAATAAATATAAATTAAACAGTACTCTGACTTAAACTGGCAAGACCAACCCAAAAAGAGGATGATCTGGAAGATTCCCTTTATAGTTGTGTACCAAGGCTGTCTAGTGTCTGTGAGTCAGCACAGGCAGGGCACAGGAACAACCACAAAACCATGGCTGAAATGCAAAGAGTAAATTTATTCTTGCTACCTTGTCAACCAGGGGATCCCTGAAGCATCTGGGCAGAAACACGCACACAGGGATGCAGGCACCACGGAGCTCAGTCCTTGCTAGAGGATCACCGGACCTGCTGTTTGTGCCATTTTTTCAGGGATTTGTGCAGGTGTAGTTTACTGTTGTGCTTTGATCTTGCCCAAAGCAGGGCAGGAATCTCAAGCATGTTTGTTAGGGTGCCTCTCAGTCTATCACAGGCCTATGTTATACCTGTCAAATGCACAAGGGTAGACAACAATTAGACTGATGTATGTATTTTTCTACAACCCAGCTTCAAGACACTTGAGTATGTTGACAATCCTTCTTGCCAATCTTCCATTATTTTTCCACAGGCCCACAGCCTGTGTCCTGCCTACAGGCTAGGTGGGCAAGCATGGGCAAGTATGGAGAACTGCCATGTTCTTATTATAACTGCTGTGTGTATGAGGCTCAGTAGTTGCTTTTACTGTCTATCTTGCCATTTCAGAGATCATCCATGTATCAAGTGGACGGGTGGTGGCTGCAGGCGGATCCCTGTCTTAGTGTTTCATGCTGAAGCCATTCTGACCAATGACAGTTATCTCCGCCTGATTGGAGGTGAGTGAGGTAGAAGTCTCTTACCTTGATCTTCCATTCTCTTTCTGGTGGGCAAGAGGACACAGTGGGGAGGAATCCTCTCTTGTGTCCGAGTACTGAGATTTTCAGAAACACTTGATCAGTTGGTGAATGTCTGTAATGTCTTTGTGTTGTGGCAAGTGTCTATATTTGTCCCTCCCTTGGACGTATTTTGAGTTGGAACTGTCTGCTTGCAAATCAAACTTGAAGGCCATGCTAGAACTTATGACCAGAATATAAATTCACTACTCTGTAGCTAAGAACTTAAAATCAATCATTGCAGTGAGTTTTGAGAGGGTTTCACTGGGAAATAAAGCAGCCAGCCCCACACTGGAAAGAACAAATCTCTGCATCTACAGCCTCACAACTATGAATAAGGCCATAAGCAAAACGATTGCTGCTCTGGCAGCACTTAAGTTGTGAGACCAAACCTGTCTAGCATCAAATAAGGGAGAGCCTCTAAATAAGAGGCTGAGTTGTTATAAACAGTCACTCTGGATTGTGAGAGTTAGTATTTGTGGGTGTGTACAGCTGGTAGCTCATTCTGGATGTGCTGAGTTGGAGAAAAGTTAAAATCTACTCAGCTTCCTTTTGTGAAGATGCTGACACTTCCTTCTCTGGCTTTTCCCTTTCTTAGGTAGTTGGTGTCCTCATTTCTAATATCCTATCAAAGCAGAAATGCCTCTGGCTCATTGGGGTAAGGGGTAGGGAAGGTGATTTGTGTGTGGAAACTTCTGATCCTTTTCATGTGAGTTAAAAACATACTTGAATGGTGGCAAGAAGCTCATGGTAATTGTAACTTGTATTCTAACTGGAGTGTGGTGTCTCTGCTTTTTCTCAGAAGGTGGAGGCTCTTTGTGGTTTAACAAGTCTACTGCTGAATAGTACGACTTGTTAAATTTCCTTGAGCTTTGTCCAGTTGGAGATTAGGATACTTCTTACTCTTTTCTTTAGACTTATTTTTATTGGTAGAACATATTTTCTGAGGTTTAAGCTAATCTTCATCTTTCTATTCTCAGTTTGAACCAGTTTGTAAAGTGCCTTTTCCAAGTGATTCTGTATTCTAGCTTTGCAATTTCTACTCTACTTTCTTTGAACTCTTATGGATTGCCACATTCTTTTGTATGACAACTGGCCTCTAGTTCTGCTACTTGCTTTCTGTTTATCTTATACCTCTAAGGCTGCTGAGTGCTTTTGTTTTTATGACCTTCTAATTGGATAGTGGTTTTCTCTTTTTCTTTCCTTGTTCTATTTACTTTATCTTCTACTACTTTTTACAGTTATTTATTGGGAGATCAGTACAGGTGAATGAGATGTGAACAAAAATTCTGTGTTTTATTTTGGGTTTTCAAGATGTAAAAAGTGATCATATAAGCTAGTCATGTCAATGAGAGATGTATGGCATGATTGCTTTTAGCTAGGAATTACCAATCTTGAATAGAGAAGAGCTGAGATCATGTTTGGAGTGTTATAAAGCAGTCTATATAAAGAGCTACTTTAAGAAAAAAAAAAACAAAAAACAAACAACAAACTGGGCATTTATTAGGATGTCCTGTGTTTTATTTTGATATGATAGTGTTCAGTGATACAGTACCTAAGGACTGATGTAAGTCATTTCAGTGCCATCACTGGAGTTAATGCCCCAAGAGATGGACAGGCATTTCCTGTTGCCCTTTGCCTGTTATGTGCTGCTACTGTGTGGATGCTCCACTTTGGATTAAGTGCAGCTCTACTCTGCTGCATCCTATGGTGCTCTTCTCACTCCTTTGCTAGCATGGGTAGCTCTGGGTTTATTCTTCTAGGTGCAGACTCTAATATAGTGTCTCTTGCTCTCTTAACAGAGCGCTACCACTTGTCCTATAAGATTGTGCGAACGGACAGCCGTCTGGTTCGAAGCATTCTGGCTGCCCATGGATTCCATGAGGTGAGTGCAATGAAATTCACATCTGCTGGGCTCAGAGGTGGTGATGATGATGATTATTATGTTTTCGACTTTTTTTGTGTGTTTTGTTTTGTGGTTGGTTGGTTTGTTTTACTCTGCAGGGTTAGAATCAGGAAGTTGCTGTGAACCCACTTGAGGGTTTTTTTACGTACTCTGCCAGTCAGACAGGAAATATGTCATGATTTTGCTCTCTCAAAGGAGCACACTTTAGCCTTAGGCCTGCAAACTTAGGGAAAAAAGGATGCTGAAGTTGTGTCATAAGTTGGGGTTTTTTTCTTCTTGCTTTTAAAGTGTTATCTCACACCCTTGGGAGATTTGAAGATTAATTCTCTCAGCCTTTGCAAGATTACTGAAGCATTGATGTAGTGTTTCATGTCTCTCTTCTAATACCTATCTTGCTCTAAAGACTGTTCTATATGCAGCTAATGACACTTTGAGATGTGGAGTCAATTTTCTTCTGAATAACACCAAGTTAAAGAATTGATCTCAAGTTTCCTGAAGAAATCTGGAATTCTTTACAAATTGAGTTTAAACAGTCTATAAGAAGAACAAAACCTCAAGTTTGTTTAGAAAAATATGACATGGTTATTTGCCAGCAGCACAGGCCAGGAGTCTGACTGGAGTTGCCCTAATATTAGAGAATATAGTAGAGGAGATTGTTTTAAACTAGAATTGCTTTGGTCTCATACACATGAGATCAGAATCTGTAGTGGTAGTTTTCATTTGTTCTATGTTTTTATATGTGTGGTGTTTTTATGTTGCTTTTTAGGTGCACCCTAATAGCAGTGATTATAATCTCATGTGGACAGGATCACACTTGAAGCCCTACTTGCTGCGTTCCCTTACAGATATTCAGAAAGTCAATCATTTTCCTAGGTAAGGCCTTGATATCATGTTCAGCTGAATATCTTTGTGGTGGTTTGAAAAAATCTGAACAAAGATAGCTCTAAAAAAGGTAGAGTATACATAATACTGTAAAGTCCCAACGCACTGGGCCTGCACCACATGCTGTCTTCATTCTAAATGGTCTTCAGGGTTTTGGGGAGATAGTACGTGAGTTGAAGCACTTGTCTGTAGCCCAAATACTGGATTTTTAAATTTTTTCTTTATTTGGTGGTGTAGGTAAAGTATTTGGGTCTTTGGGTTCTTAGTTATATGGTATCTGCTAAAGTTTACACTGTTACAACAGCTTGTTGTGCTTCAGTCTGTCTTGGGAATTGCAAGGGGTGCTACAAATGAGGATGGATATTAATACAGCTGTAGGACAGGGATGGTAAAACTGGAGGTAGTTGCAGGTTTAGACATTAACAGGGCTACAGATGCTTTACTAACTAGGATGAAGGGTTGCTGTAATGTGAGATTTTTTTTATGTGGGGAAAAAGTAGATAGTCTCTTGTTTTGGGACTTCAGGTCGTATGAACTGACACGAAAGGACAGACTATACAAGAATGTCAGTCGTATGCAGCTGGCCCATGGATTCAAGACATTCCATATCTTACCTCAGACCTTTATCCTCCCAACAGAGTACCAGGACTTCTGCAGTAAGTGAATGGCTGATGACACCCAAAATAGCTGTGTGTGGGGAAGGGAATTACTTTTAATATTCCAGCCTCCATGCCAGTGGTTAAAGGCAACAAAATTAGAGGACGCTGGAAAGACAGTGGAAAAGGCCCACATGATTTTTTAATGTAATTTCTACTCTGCTGTTTATTCCATGCCTGCCTAAGTCCTCAGGAAGCTGATGTGGGCTTAAGGCTCCAGAACTGAGGGTTTTTTTGTGCACAGTGTTGTTGATGATCAACTTCACAATATCATGGACTCGTATCTGGGGGTACTGAAGAGATAGGTGCCAAAGGGAGGCATAGGGCAGAGAAATGAATCTATCAGAGCAGCAGAAGGGGCCATAATAGTTGCAGTCAGTCCCAATGGGTAAAATAAGACATAAAAAAAGTAGATTTGGTCTCGTGGAGTTTTCTGAAGCTTTTACTGTAGACAACATTCCTGATTCTTGGTCCTCTGTAAATAAGCAAAATGGAAGACGTGTTTCAGACTTGTGCTGTTTTCTTTTAACCAGATACCTATTCTAAGGACAGAGGCCCATGGATAGTGAAGCCTGTGGCC